AAAGATTTAAAATGGTGTATGGCCACTAATAGTTTAAAAAAAGTTAGCTTCACTTATTTTTATTATACTAGAATAATCTTGTTCCACAAAGCACTTAGGAAGTTATATTTTACTTCTTAGCAAGTTTTGCTATCCTTTTACCAAAGGTTTTGTTATATACTTTCTATGCTGAAGATACAGTGCACAGCACAATGCTAGAACATAGCAAGCAATCCACAAAATGTAGTTATTAAACCCACTAGACTATAAGCTCCAGTTGAGAATGGATTGTCTTGTTTCTGTCTTGTTTAGCACTCTACTTCCAGAACCTAGCTATCTGGCCCATAGTAGGTATTCAATAAACACTGTTGAATAAACAGTTGAATATGATCTAAGAGTAATTCTCAACTATCACCTCCTATTTTATGGTTACCAGTGCCCCATCTCCTCTAATCAACAGCAAGGGCCTGGAAAAACAGTACCCCAGAGGAAAGGCACTTTTAAGTTCCTGTTTGTATTTCCTTAAACTTACCACAAAGATTCTCCCCTTCTGTCCCAAAACCCCAAAATCAATGCTTTGCAACAATGTATTCTTAAACAATTTTGCTTCATTTCCCCTCACAGACAATGCATAAAGTTCCTTAAAACTGCAAGACCTAGTCTAGTTCCCTTTACCCTTTAAAGGAAAGGCATATATGTAAAACCTTATTTTGATTCATGATTGGTTATTACACAGGCTGCTACTTGTTTTTTTACTATACTTAGTATAAATTAAAATAACATAGGCTTAAAATAATTTATAAATGTTACACATCAAAGTATACCACACTTCAGAGCAATAAAATTAGGAAACTGACAAATATTTCAATGAATGAATTTTATTCATTGAAATATTCTATTCATTTATTTTCATTCTTGAAAATAAAATTCAGGGACTGGGTGTGGTGGCTCATCCCTATAATCCCAGCACTTTGGGAGGCCAACGTGGGAGAAATGCTTGAGGCCAGGAGTTTGAGACCAGCCTGGGCAACACAATAAGACCCTATCTCTACAAAATAAATAAATATTAATAAAATAAAATGCGGAGATTTTTTTGGAAGCAGACTTCAGGTCCAGTTCAAGAAGTCACACAAAAAATGCTGTGTCATTACTTTATAGTTGTAACTCCTATCTGACCTAAAACAGTAGTATCACCAACCTGATTGCCTAATCTTTGAGTCCAAATTCCCTAAATTATTTGGATTCAAATGGACTGTTATTCCCTAAAATCAAATCTGCTCTCAAAAAAATGAAGATGGATGGCCAGACACAGTGGCTCACCCCTGTAATCTCAGCACTTTGGGAGGCCAAGGTGAGCAGATCACCTGAAGTAAGGAGTTAGAGACCAGCCTGGCCAACGTGGTGAAACCCTGTCTGTATTAAAAAATACAAAAATCAGCTGGGCATGGTGTTGCGCACTTGTAATTCCAGCTACTTGGGAGCCTGAGGCAGGAGAATCGCTTGAATCCAGGAGGTGGAGGTTACAGTGAACAGAGATGGTGCCATTGCACTCCAACCTGGGCAACAGAGTAAGACTCTGTCTCAAAATAAAAAAAGAAGAAGAAGAAGAAGAGTATCATAGGCTCCAAAGTGGATTCTAAAAGAAGTTCCAAAAAATGTTTTCTGGCACACATAAAAAGGTACTCATTGAAAGAACAACTTCAGGCCCGGCACAGTGGCTCAGGCCTGTAATCCCAGCACTTTGGGAGGGCGAGGAGGGCAGATCACTCAAGGTCAGGAGTCTGAGACCAGCCTGGCCAACATGGAGAACCCTGTCTCTACTAAAAATACAAAAATTAGCTGGGTATGGTGGAGGGCACCTGTAGTCCCAGCTACTCGGGAGGCTGAGGCAGGAGAATCGCTTGAACCCAGGAGGTGGAAGTTGCAGTGAGCCGAGATGGCACCACTGCACTCAAGCCTGGGCAACAGAGTGAGACTTCATCTCAAAGAAAAGAACAACTTCAAATAACTACACCGAAACTCTGAATAAGATAACACTTAATTGTAAATCTAAATTCTGGTATTTTCATTCCAATATTAGTTATAATTGTTTATTGTTAACTGTCAAATAATTTCAGTTTCAGTTGTATTTTCCTTCACTAATATGCTGTAGGTTACATCTTAAATCCCTTTAGTAGAAAGACTACTTAAACAAGCAAGCAAATAAAAAAACTCTGCCCCCCTGGAAAGACACAAGACACTTAACAGTGCTTGTCTTTGAGAAAGACAGTAGAGTGGCTGGAGAACAAAAAACGAGACTTTTCACTGAATACCTTTTTTTTTTTTTTTTTTTGAGATGGAGTCTGGCTCTGTCGCCCAGGCTGGAGTGCAGTGCCGCGATCTCGGCTCACTGCAACCTCCGCCTTCCGGGTTCACATCATTCTCCTGCCTCAGTCTCCCGAGTAGCTGGGACTACAGGCGCCCGACACCACACCAGGCTAATTTTTTGTATTTTTAGTAGAGACGGGGTTTCACTGTGTTAGCCAGGATGGTCTCGATCTCCGGATCTCCTGATCCACTCGCCTCGGCCTCCCAAACTATTGGGATTACAGGCTTGAGCCACCGAGCCTGGCCCACTGAATACCTTTTTAAAACTTTCAAATTTTATACAATGTCAATATATTACCTATTTTTAAAAAGCTGTTCAATAAAAGTACTTTTAAGTGTCAGATACTGCTGGCTTTTTTTTTTTTTTTTTGAGACAGAGTCTCGCTCTGTCGCCCAGGCTGGAGTGCAGTGGCGCCATCTTGGCTCGCTGCAAGCTCCGCCTCCCGGGTTTACGCCATTCTCCTGCCTCAGCCTCCCGGTTAGCTGGGACTACAGGCGCCCCGCCACCCCGCCCGGCTACTTTTTCGTATTTTTTAGTAGAGACGGGGTTTCACCGTGTTAACCAGGATGGTCTCGATCTCCTGACCTCGTGATCCGCCCGTCTCAGCCTCCCAAAGTGCTGGGATTACAGGCTTGAGCCACCGCGCCCGTCCTCTGCTGGCTTTTATACCATAGAAAAATATACCACTAAAGAAATGTGGAGTTAATTTTAATGGTACTTCACTGTAAATCTGGATCTCCTGTTCCAGTGCAGAGCTAGTCACCAACAGTACTGAACCTTTGCAAGCAATTCAATTGGAGTTCACCCAAACCCTCTATAGTTGAGTTATTCTGCTGTTATCACTCCATTAAAATTTAAATAGCATTGAAAACAAAAACGTGATACTACAGAAATGAATGTGTCAATTCAAGAATGAAAAAATGGAAGTATATTAATGAGCTATAAAATATTAAAAGAACAATGATCCAAATACATCTTTGAAAATTAGCAAATCAACTAGATATACATAATATGTACTGAATGGATATACATATATTAACATGTATATATCGAATGTAAAATGCTGCAAATCAACTATACACACACACACTCTCTGAATGTAAAATCCTGCAAATTCCTTTAAAATGTAAACTGCCATGCTGTAAAAATGGGAGAAAGATGTCACGCTCGGTGCCATCTGCAACATAACTTAAGCAGCTTGAACTAGAAAATGCAATATGATCTGTTGCTGGACACAATTGCACAATCTCAATTACCCAGAAGATTCTACCAAACAGGAAATTCATGATGTGACTTTGGGAAACACAGAAATCATATTTAAAGATTAACACATCCAAAAGCCTGGAATTTGTTCCAAAACAAAAAACGATTTTACAGGCCCCTTTTCAAATGACGCATACAATACGAATTACTAAAACACAGAAAAAGCTAACAGTTAAATCTGATATTTAGTTTCAGATCCGTAGCTTTTAAATTATAGAAAATCTAAAATACAGGGTATAAAACCTTGAAAATTAGAGAGCAGTTAGTGAAATATTTCAGGTCTGGAAATTACATGGTATCGACTTAATTTAAAACACACTCACGGTGTAAATTAAAGCTAAAAAGTATCTCTTCCCTTCCTTTTCTATGTGGTTCCATATCCTTAGGAAAACCATCGTGTACCTCAGGCCATAAATGCAGGTAACTAGATAAATCCCTGCAAACCCTGAAAGGGACTTTTAAAACACAGTATTCGCAGGAATTATCTCAAAAAATACTTACAATACCTCCTAGCACTGTTAATAATTTTTTGATCTTGAGGGCGCCTTACAGATCTGAATCTTTCTTGCTCCAAATGAAAAAACTGTTTTGTCGAACAATACTTAAATGAGCAGTGGTATGTGACTAATCAGTGAGACTGCCAGTTTCTCAAGCTGCAGTGTTCTTGCAGGCACTACCACCGCTGCCCCTCCACAGAAAGGAAATACGCTTTCAACCGAATCGGAAACACACCACTCAAGCTGGCACAGTGTTCACCGAGATAAAGTCGGTATTTTAAGCTCTATGGATCGCTGCTAATTCAAGTGCGAATTCAAAAAAAAACATTTCTCGAGATGGGATTTCGACAGAGGTTTGGGAAAGAAAAAAAAAAAAGGCCCGGAGAGAGCTCCCTTCCTGGTCAGTTTTGTTTAGATGACCGCAGTCTTCGGGTTGGGCTCTACCCTTCTGCTTCTCCCGGCAGCTCCCCAAGCTTGTCTGCTCAGACGACAGGGTCCGGCGCCACAGCGTGGGCGCATCGCGGGAGAGGGTCCTTCTGCTCCAGGTCGGGAGGGAGACCCCCAAGGAAGCAGCCCTTCCCCCGGTGCCTGCCGCCGAGCAGCAACCTTCCGAGAGGCGAAGGCGCAGGGTGCTAGCCAGAACCGAGCTCCAGCACCACCACCTACCTCTCGCAGCGGACTTGAGCGCTGCACACGGTGGACCGCAATACCCGCGTGAGTGCAGGGCGAGGGGTGCAGGAGGTGTAGAACAGGCAGAGCTCGAAGGGGCAGCAATGCCCTCCCCCGAGGAAAATTCCTGCCACTTGACGCAACGCAGAGCAGTGGTGCAGGCCTGGCTCTCGGGCGCGAGGGGCCACCCTGCCCACAGCGGCCCCAGGCCCGGCGACACTCACCACACAGAGCCATAGGCGCCGGAGCCCACTGGAGACAGGTTCTGGTAACGCTCGGGCACCTCCCAGATTGTCTTGTTCAGCTCCTGCCGGTAGAACGTGGGCCTCTCCTGAGACATTTTCCAGCGGCAGTCGCCGGGCAAGAAGGTGGCCCTATGGGGCCCCCGCCTGCACCCGCACCCTCTCCCCGGCCCTTGCTGCCCGCCCAGCCGGGCGGGGACCTTGCGCTGGTCGCCCGCGCAGGTGCGGCTGCCGCGACCCCGCAGACTCCCGCGCGCGCGGCTGCTGTCAGCCGCCGCGGCTGGATGCGCCCCTGCGACTGGGGCAAGCCCCGCTAAGGGCAGGGCCGCGCTCCGGCGCTCAAGGCTGCGCCCGCCGCGATCTCCCTGCACCTTCGTCCCTACAAGGCCGACTCCGAGCTGCGTCGCAGTACTCCGGATCCAGCTGCTGCGCCCGCTGAGGCTCCAGTGGTCGCGGTTCCACAGCCAGCAAACAGGAGCCTCCCGCAGTACTCTCGCGAGAACTGCTCCCGGGACTCTCCGAGAGCTGAGATTTTACCCAATATGGAACCTCTTCGCGGGCGGGGCTTCGTGAGAGGAGAGGATGGGAGGAGCAGTTCTCGCGAGAAGAGAGCAACAACTGGAGCCCAAAGGCAGAAACTCCCAGGGACTGTCTCCTTAAGGGCGCGAAGGCGGACCAGGGAAGGAAGAGATAAGTGGGCAGCACACGCCGCGCGCGCCCCACCGTGGCCAGCAGGGCAAATACCTGGCTCTGTGGTGGAAAACGACAGTGACAAATAGCGTGTCGGGGAGAGAGTCAAAAGATCTTTAACTGCGAGTAGTTACCAGCAGCGGAGCACCTGCTCAGCTGAACCCCCAAATTCCAAAAAACACTTGCATGAAAAAGAGACAGGTGGCAGGGCGCGGTGGCTCACGCCTGTAATCCCAGCACTTTGGGAGGCCGAAGCGGGCGGATCACCTGAGGTCGGGAGTTCGAGACCAGCCTGACCAAAATGGAGAAACCCCCGTCTCTACTAAAAATGCAAAATTAGCCGGGCGTGGTGGCGCGCACCTGGAGTCCCAGCTACTCGGGAGGCAGAGGCAGGAGAATCGCTTGAACCCGGGAGGCAGAGGTTGTGGTGAGCCGAGATCGCGCCATTGCACTCCAGCCTGGGAAACAGGAGCGAAACTCCGTCTCAAATTTAAAAAAAAAAAAAAAGTGAGAGACATGTTCTGGCCAGAAGGCTGTTGCATTCCCATCTGCTCAAGGACATATGGGTTACTCTACATGTGGGTTACTCTTCGAGATGCTGACGAAATATGTCCCAAAGGCAAATGTTAACCCTGCATCAAAGCTGAGGCTTTCCAGGGGCTGGGCGCGGTGGCTTGAGCCTGTAGTTCCAGCTTCTCGGGAGACTGAGGCAGGAGAATTGCTTGAATCCGGGAGGCGGAGGTTGCAGTGAGCGCCACTGCACTCCAGCCTGGCGTCAGAAGGAGACTCCGTCTCAAAAACAAAAAACAAAAAACAAAAAAAGCTGAGGCTTTCCATTCAAACTCTCCTAATAGTTCTTAAACTTACATGCAGAAAAATCACCCTGGGAGTTTAAGATGCAAGTTCCCAGGACTCACAGGGAGTCTAATTGGGTAGGTCAGAGGAAGGCATCAAGAGCATGTATTTTTATAATACATCTTAGGTAATTCTGATTCAGGAAAGTGTGATATCTCCCTTTGAGAAGCATTTAAAAAACCATTACACTGAAGATTTGAAACTGACTCCTATCCTGAAGAGCCATCAGTGAAGAGGATTTTAAGCATTCAACTCATGCCTCTTCGAGTAAGGAGAAGAGGGCAGAAGTCTCATCGAATTTAGGCAAGTCAACTGACCTTTCCTGAACCTTAGTTCCAGCTTCTACGAGAGAATTCCTGCCCTGCATTCCCGACTAACAGAGTCATTTGTAAAAACTAAACAAGATAAATGTGAATGGGCAAGGCATTATAACCCCATGCCTACATCCATTATCAACCTACACCTATGCTAAAGCTTGTTACAATGAGCAGAAGAATCAGATCCTGCATCATTGTCTTAGTTTCTTGTATTAGAAATAACTAGGTCCAAGCCAGGACATTTCTCAACATTTCCTGTGATTATTCTATTTTGTGTCATACACACCTTGGAGGGCTCAGACTTTGCCTATCTTGTCCCAATATCTAGCACAATGTCTATAACATAAAACATGTCCCATAAGTATTTGTTGAAAAAATTGTGAACAATGACCATGATTTCAATTTAAGAAGTGGTACAGGATTATCAGTCCTCCTCAAGGAAAGCAATATAAAACCAAAAAACAGAGTCATGGGTGATTCATGGAAAGCTGTTTTGGATCCAATGTAGCTTAGCTGGAATTCTCTTATCTACAAAAATATGATGCTTGAGAATGTTCCAAACTAGGGAGGCTAGGAAGCTTTCTAAGAAGTAATGGAGGGTGAAAGGGAAGTAAGAGCAAAAACATGGTTGTGAAGAAATGAGGGATGGGGTTGGGGGAATCGAGGGAATGAGGGAATGGTTACAAGGGGTGAGGAGGAAGCTTGGAAGTAGGAATCCTCAGAAATGCACATTTTTATCCTACAAATTGGGATGATGAGGTGAGAGTGAATGGAAGGGTAAAGATAAAGTAAGCAGTATATTCATACACTCATTCAGCCAATGTGTATTAAATGCCTACTAGGTGCCAAGCACTTGTAGTTAAAAAGTGATTAAAAACTACAGTTGCTGCCTGCGTGGAGCTTACAGTCAGTGGGAGGGCAATCATTCAACACAAATTCATTGAACACTTCCTATGTCCACCACAATGTTGTAGGCACTCATAATAAAACAGTTAATGAAAGGGATAAAAATCCCTGCCCTCATAGGGCTAAGATGATTTACAAAAAGGAATACACAAAGTGCATAATAAGGTAGACATCAACACAGTCATCAAACAAACAAGTGTAAAACTGTAACTGGGCCAAGCAGGAATACAAGGTGGAGTGTGAGACAGTGATAGGGACAGGGATAGGGTGGGAGGAGGGTAAAGGGAGTGAGTGCAGACGGCATGTCTGCATCCAGAGCCGACGATCTGGGCAGGAAGGTGTCATCCAGTGGGGAGAGCCAGGCCTGTGGGGCAGAGAGCCTATGGTTGGAGACCTGGGTAACCCTCCTAGCCTCCATTTCCTTTTACCGCTTCTGACCTGAGGAAGGCTAAGTCTTCCGGAGACGATAGTGAATTACCGTCTGTGCAGTACACATGTGCATTGCTGTATGTTCAGGGCACGAGGACTGGCACCAAATAGGCCCTCGATCAAGAATAGTAAAACCTCAGAGAGAGTAGGAGCTTCGGTACCCAGGTTTACCAAGTACCAAGGGGCTCCCACGACTCAGGTATGAGGAGGGCGACCTAGGTACCCCTTTCCCGGCTCCCTAGCCCAGCTGCTCATGCTCCCCTTCCTCGTCCCCTCCCCCACTCTCATCTTCTGCCCGCCCGGAACGTCCGCGGGCTAGGCCACAACGGCTAGGGAACCGCCGGTATCCGCGTCCGCAGCGCCGCCAGCCAGGCGGGAGCCGTGTGGGATCCCGCACTCCCGCCCCCGCCAAGGAGCCAGGTGAGCCGCTGCCGGGAGACGCCCGGGCGCCGGGGGCTGCAGGCGGTGAGCGGCGAGGCCACAGCGGGTCCCATCGCGGGGGCTGCGTCTGTCACCGGCAGGTACCCAGGTATGCCGCAAAGCCAGGCACGCCGCAGGCGCTCAGTCAGTATCTGTGGAATGAATGAATGACGGTCGTCCCTGGGAGCTTATCTCTCAGGTATTGTCTCTACTTTCAAAGGCCGTGTGGATGGCAATGACAAGAGACAGTGTGTGCGTTTTGCAAGCTGCATCCTTTCAAATTCTCCTGTCTATATTGTCAAAGGCCCCAGCACTGATGTGCTACCTGCACCCCACCGCCTATCCCATCCATTTCCTCCCGAGGCCTGACTTCCAGGCCGTTCCTCCTCCTTTCAGACCTCACTGCTTTTGTTCATTTTATTCCCTGTGACTGAATCCCCACCCCCACCTCCTTGCCCCTTTCTTTTCATGTCAAATGCTATTGATGTGTCAGGGGCCCCTGTGAAGCCTTCTCCAGCACCCCCACCCCAATAATGAGCACCTCTCCAACACACCGTGTTACAGTCTCCACATTGCACGGAAGGTGGTTGTCCTATGTGTCCAATGGTCATCCACTTAAGGACTGTCATCTTATTAGTCATCCCTAGCCGCTATTCAAAGTGACTAAAGGATCTAAAGGCCAGGCTCTTTGCTTATATTTTTCTGTATTTCCAATACATTCTCCATAAAAACCTAGGTAGTAACACGCTTAGGGTTGTTTCTGATGGAATTACAAATGCTTATTTTCAAATTTTGGAAGTGAATTTAGCCTTTACATGATTATAGAAAACATAAGAAAGTTCAGGGGGAAGATATTCCTGGAACTAAACTAGCTTTCAAGATGTCATATCATTTAGGTCAATAGCCATAAAATTGGATTTTATTTAAACTTTTTATTCCTAACTTTTTTTTTTTTTTTTTTTTTTTTGAGACAGAGTCTTGCTCTGTCTCCCAGGCTGGAATGCAGTGGTTCCATCTTGGCTCACTGCAACCTCTGCCTCCCGGGTTCAAGCAATTCTCTGCCTCAGCCTCCTGAGTGGCCAGGACTACAGGCACGCCACCACACCCAGCTAATTTTTGTATTTTTAGTAGAGAAGGGGGTTTGCCATGTTGGCCAGGCTGGTCTCAAACTCCTGACCTCAGTTGATCCAACCGCCTCGGCCTTCCGAAGTACTGGGATTACAGGCATGAGCCAGTGAGCCATGCCTGGCCTATTTTTTACTTTTAAAACACTCTGAACACAGATAATGTAAATAATTAGATGGATGGATGGATGGATGGATGGATGGATGGATGGATGGATGGATGGATAGATAGATAAGGGTACTATGGAGGGTGAAAGAGCTAGGCCAAAAGTGCTTGTATTTTAACAGGGCCCCCAAACTTAGCACTGAAAGTCTCATGAAAGATAATCCACTATATTTATAGTGGTACTCATACTTTAATTTTTATCAGAATCACCTGGACAGCTTCTTTGCTTTTTTTTCTACCTAGCAAGACCTACTGAATCAGAAACTCTGGGGGCCCAGCAGTCTGGACAGCTTCTTAAAACATACTGATGGCCCCAGAGTTTCTGATTCAGTAGGTCTTGCTAAGTGGGGCCTACTCAACAGTAGGAGTTTCTGGTCATTGCATCTTCTTGGGAAGGGTCCTGCTAGTACATGAAATCAATGAAGAAAGACATAATGGAGCTGGAGAAATTCCAAAGAAAATTACTTAAAAAACAATAATAAGGAAACCGTGTGTTTACCCTTGCTGCTGTTAGCCAGACATTTGTTGGAGTTCCTTAAAGACAACTTTCCACCTGCTCCTTCTGGCCATCCTCACTGTGGTTGTAGGAGTTTATGACTTGATAACCTCTCCTAGATTATCATAATATTAATGGTCTCCAATTGGCTGTTTTGCCTCAGTCTCTCCTATCTCCACTGTCCAACAACTTTTTGTGATGATGGAAATGTT